GATCTCCAGTTGTGGGAGAAGTCAAGATTCGATCTTGACATCAGTTCTTTGAGAAAGAATTGATAGGAAGTTGTGCTCACATGCCATCCTACTATTTCTTGCGAAGGACAGAATTCTTGGAGAATAATACTGCTAATTCTGCTCCATCCTGCACTGCGCCATCTTTAGTGGGAGTAGTCTTTGGATCCTTCCTTGGGCGTGAGCACCTTCATTGGGGGATATTATTTCTCCGTATCAGGTATAATCCTCTCATACTCCTTTTGGTTCAGATCAGGTTCAGTTTATGGTTCAAGAATGATCCTTGAAAATATGATTTTCTAAATAGGGAATGCGATTCCCAGTTGAAGGGAGAAATTTTTTTTTGAAATTCGCCCCCTTTATTCCACAAGATTTGGGCGTCCATACGATGGATCTCTCATCCCTTCACTTGTCTAGGTCCGAATTATAGCACCTCATCACTAGCCAATGTGACATCGACGCAAGGAGCGACCTCTTTCGAGGGCTTGCCGACCTGGCCGAGGTCCAGGAGAAGACCTGCTAGTTGTGCTCGCCGACAAATTCGATATGCATATCCTGACACCCCCAAGTTTCTCGGAAGTTGGCACATGTACTGAGTGTTCTGGAGGATGGCCAATGTGCGTGGCGGTTACCTCCGGGGATCTCGGACCAATTAGGCGACTTCCCAGAAATCTCGGATGCGGTGCGTGAAGCCCATGCCAAACAAAGCCTATATAAAGGCACCGACCCCAATGACACGAAATGGTACGCACGATTTAGTGCATTCTAGCTCTCTTTGTTTTCAAAACTCTCAGTTCGCATATACTATTATTGACTTAAGCATTGGAGTGACCTCGCCGAATTAGCCACCTCAGGTTCTCTGATACCTCCCTTTCTTTGTAGTTCGAGCGACCTACTTGACGACAGGCGTCCGAGCTGCCCTACAACTAAGAGCATCCAGATCGCACACCATCACTTTCAAGATTCTAAAAACTTATTTAAGTACAAAAAAGCTTAAGAACCAAAGCTATCCTAACATTTGGTCTCTAAGGTTGATTAAATCGATTTTGGTCTTGTTGAGTGTCATAGAAAGTGCATCTCAAGCTACTGAATCAAGTAATGATTCTATTTCATCTTCAACATTAAATTTGCTTAATACAATTATAGCTCAAAAAAATTTACTTGAGTTAGCTGCATACTTAGCACACTATTAATATTGTTTTGAATTTATTATCTTGAAAACACATACGATCAACAATGAGCACATATGGACTCGTTCTTTTGTACAATTCACCATTAATGGATTATAAGGGCATTGTCTACATAGAACTTTCTCCTATAGTGCTTTTGTGAAGACTTTCTATGAAGGAACCAAACTAATGGAGAAGAAAAGAAGAATCAATAAACGCATGAAGTCATTTTAGCGTTTAATTAGTTTGAGTTTCCTGAGAAGGAAAGGAATTTGCAATGGCAAGCAGTTCCACCATACAATCTCCCATAATTTATGTTCCGCTGTTTATGGAGAAGAGACTTTTCACAATGATGAACAGAAGACAAACAAATCATGTATTCTATTGGCCCTGACTCCAGAGAACAGCACTAGGAATGTGATTTTCTGTTGTTTAGGGGTTTGGCTACTCAAAACAAAAGCATTCCGCAAGTTCAGACAAGTGCTATCGGTTCACACGGCAAGATCAAAGTAGTGAATTCATCTTTTTGTGTTCATACTGGTGTGTTTGGTTGCAGAGCAATTTTATTTGCACTAGTGTAAATGAAAAAAATGCAATCTCTCCTTTAATTTTATTTGGGGGTTTACTTTATTCTGATTCATGTCATAATTTACTTCATTTGTATTACAATCAAACAAAATAAGCTAAAATTTAAAACAAAAATAGGTCAGAATTTGCACGGCCATTATTTTGCATCAGTGCAAATTTATTTGCATTGCAACCAAATACAGTCTACTGGAACCTTGTCGCTGTCTGGTTTGGTTACGTTGTGGTGGCAGAGAGAGAGAGAGAGAGCATCTGCTGGACCCTCCAGTTAGAACGTATTTCAATATTCTCAATTCTCATCTTTGCCGAAGTTGCACATTATAGTGAATCTAGTGATTAGTGCAAGAATGTAATAAACTCAAAAAATTATTGCATAAAAATTTTTACCGAAGTTGCACTATGATACTGATTAGTGATCGTGATATGGTCATTGCTATTCCGACAGAAAGGATGTAACAAACATTACTACAGCAGGAAGCAAGAACGTAATGAATTCAAAATGAGCCATTCAAGGTGATTAAGAGACTATAAGTTACAGGATCAAATCTATCTTATCTTCCTTCGTCTTGCCTATGGCTTTTGCTGAAGACCACGCAACAACTTTCTCACTTTCTTTCTGTTTTTTTTTTTCGCTATATAAAACGAAAATACGATATTCCTGCAGTGTTGCTAAAAAAGCAAAACATTCTCCGCAGGATATCGTTCTTTTTGATGATCATCCTGATGGGATACCAGATGTATTGAATTATATTGACTTACTTCCTAGCTAATATCAATATTTTATCTTTCAAAAAAAAAAAAAAAACTAAGGTCTTCCCACGTGACCAGATGATTCAAAAAGAATGGATTTAAGTTCAAGAATATGGCGGCTTGGTAAATGGATTTCGTTTTGAAGGCTTGTTGGATACAAGGGTAAGCTATAGCATTCTATATTTCTACCGTCACAACATTCATAGCTTAAGTGCGTGCAAATGTATGGAATTTTCTCTTGGCAAGAAGAGTAAACATTATATCAGAAAAATAAACAGTTCGGCATTATACTAGATAATTAAACATATCATAAGGCAACGATAAAGTTTATAAATATTGTGTTCAGCCAGATATTTAACAAACAAAGCACCATATGATAATTGGTGTCTGGAAATTTTCAGAAAGGAAAACCAGGAAATTTAACCAAAAGTTGACAATAAGTTTTTATAAGTACCATATGAACAAGAGAAAAAAAAGGAGCAATGTTATTCCCATCTTAGAGGGCTGTATGCGAGGGTGAGCCGCTCAGCATAAAATTTCAGGCTTCTGGAAATGCCCATAAAACTTGAGATTGGAGTTCGCATGCCGGCATCGTTGAAGTTGCAACAGAGATTTTGGAGGGTATAACCTAATGAAACAGGTTTTCCAAATTCAAAATGCAGAACTTGTACCTGCATTATGACTGGCACAAATTGTTAAGTGAGGACTTCCCTTCTCACACTAAAACTGAATTGAATTCCTTAAAGAAAAAAGAATTTCAAATCAACCAGTATGTTTTTCATGATGGAAAGGGTGGTGTTCAAGGAGAGATCGGAAGATCTAAAATTGGAATTTTCGAAAATATATTTTTTCTGTATTTTTTGCACAGTAGGGGCATTTTTGTCATTTTGACTAGTCCCAAGTGGCCCTAACCCATGATATCCTGTTCTACTTGTTTAGTAGGGTTTATCTTTTAATTTTCAGTTTAACTGCATAGTGGGTGCAAAGTTATGGAGCTTCTCGATGTAAATAATATGCAGTGGCATTTTTGTAATTATGATGAACAGTATTCTGAGCCACGCAAATCTCTTGTATTCTCTTCCTTTTGAAGCTAATGAAGATTTATTTAGAGCTCTTTTTGCAAGTTTTCTGTATCAAGTGATCCTAGGTCCTATAGATCAACCAAATAAATTTTTACACAACAAAAACTAATATTTGACTTCGTGTTTGAAAAGAATATCGAGCTGTCTCAAAGTGGTAATCATGTCCATCAGGCTGGCAAATAACATTGCTACTCCACATATCTCCAATATTGTCACCAACTTATAATACTATCTCTTGTATTCCACATAGTGCCAATAGTGTTATTCACTAGGGACAATGTCGATTCCAGAAAAAATTCGTGTAGGTACCAATGGAAATGGAAATGTCGTGCAAATATTAGGAAATTTATGGACATTTCAAACCATGATTGAAGCAGTGTTATTGGGATGTGTATCAAAGGGTAGTTGGTAGACTTTGATATCTTTGCATGACATAACATCACTAAAATACAGGGAAAAAAGAACAACAAGACAAAAAAGAAAAATGACTGACCTGTGGATGCAGCCACTCCTGGGGAATAATGCTTATGGATCCTCTGATCAGTTCATCTGATTGGAATAAAAGAAGCCAGACTCATATGGTGCTTTGAACAACTGGAACTCTTGAAATTGGTTACTGCCATTACTACGTACAGTTAATGAATGCATCCGGGGTCCGGCTTGTTGTTCAGCCTGCCAGTATTCTGATGGAGGTAGGCCTTGAGGCACCAAATGCACCACTGGCTGAGTCATCTTTGTACGGTTTGTATGTATTATCTGGTTGAGTGAATTGGGTTCAGGGTCACTTGAACCCCAAGAACTAGTTGACAGAAGAGAGAGAGCACGCCGGAGATCTGGTGTTGTGTCCAAGTTAGAAGTGACCCCAGATGCTTCCATACCTGAAAAAAGGTAGTCAAATCATACCAATAACATGAAAACCTTAACTAAGAGAAAATATGAAAAAACAACTTGCAAGATCTTACTAAACAGAATATCTTCTAGTTGGGCCATTTAACAAATGCTGAATGATGGTGTTCTCTCAACACCTATCTATGTTGTATTTTCTTTTTCTTTTTAATGAATTTTCTTTTTTTTCTTTATCAAAAAAAAGGAAGCTTCCACATGGCAAATTGGTTTGGGATCCAAAACGGTCCCACAAGTTCTTATTACTATTCTTTATTAATGGAGCAAATTTGATCCCAAAAACACTTGCCACATGCCAGAATATGCCCATCTTTTTGGATTAAAATATTAAATCTTCAACAGTCTCTTTTGTTTGACAAAATAATTGAAGTTAGCGTAAAGGGCTTTTATGAATTGGAGGATTGAGCAGGTCTCCCACCCAGAGAGTCCCTTGCTTGTTGGACAGCTCTAATTGGGCATATCCATAAGGTGAGGCTTGGAAACAAGGGGGGCGGGGGCTTGTCACCTAGTCAACCAGCAACCATCTTTCACTAGTAATTTAATCCTTATAAAAAAGTATAAACTTCATATTAAAATCTAGAAAATCAACATATTCATGAGAAGAAAAAGACGAAACAAAAATAAAATTCAGAAAATACAAAGAAAAGAGAAGAGGAAGAAAAATGTGTTGATTGGAAAAAAAAATAAGTTCTTCCTTGTTGGTTCAAGTTTCAAAGTCTTTTAGGGTTCAAGACAGCACACAACAATCATGTTTGTTGATTGAACGCTAACAAATAAGAAAATAATAAAATATAAACCCACAAAACAAACAAATCAGTTTAATAATGTCTATTTTATTTATTATAATCTCAAAAAAATAAAGAATATAAAGTATTTCATAGGCACCATATACAAAACCAAGTCAACAGACCACAACTTGCTATCAGTTGTAGCCTTGTAGCATGTGTAATGGTGCATCAAAATTAATAACATACATTAAATAGTATGAATCATCATAGGATAGAGTTTTTCTGAAGAAGAAACAAATGATACCTTGGTTGAGGACCTCGGCAGTGGTGCCCTTCAATGACAAGAGCCTTTGAGGTTCATGGCTAAGTGTAGAAATGGCATTTGGCACCTCATTGCTGGGCAAATGTAATTGGCCATCAATGCTTCCTGCTTTGGCCGGTCTCATCGGAGATCCCTTTGTTTGTGTAAACTTAAAGTCAGATGCGCTTTCCCAAGTTGGACTTACAGCAGGTCTCATGTGAATGATTGGGATCCTGTTTAACATAAGGCTCATCTGTTGCCTTTCATCTGTGAAGGTTGGCACAAGCAGATCAATTAACATGCATAAATTGGAAAAAAGGAGCAGTATTGCTTCTCTTTGTTTTACTTTACTTTTATTTTATTTCTTTTTTTATGTAAGAAAGTCCAAAAATTAATTCTTGAGTTGTCAATTTGTAAGTATCAAGCAAAATGGAAACATTCATGCCCAACCAGAAGTTACAACATGAAAAACAAACAAAAATAAATGATAGCAATAAAAATGTTGACATCTTAGAGAATACGTAGAAGATGATAACATTCTTACATGTCCAAAAATATTGTATATTATACCAACCAGTTGTCTGACAACAAATGAAATGAGATGATAACAAGCCCAAACATAAGTTACAAACAATGTTCATAGATCAGGACCAGGCATAGAACAAGAGAAAGGAGAGGTTCATGGGTCAGAGGTTCAACTGGGGTCAAACCAGAGGTCGAACCATGACGATGTGGCATATATGTATATGTAGGTGGGTCACATAAATACTATACATAATATATTTTACAAGTTGTATTGTACTTGAATGTGGTGGATAGATGGCAAATTTCCTTAGTTTTTAAAGAAAATAACCAGGCATTTTCTTTAAAATACTTGTATTAAAGTAATATACACAACAACATTTTAAAAAACGACCTGGAAACGGAACCTTTCTGGCCACCGGTTTCCGGATCAACGGTTTGACCGTCCGGTTCGAACGGACGGCCCATTCTGACAGCAAAATTAAAAAAGGTCAAAAAACTGTTGAACGGGTCGACGATTTGACCACCCGGGTCAATGGTTTGTTGACTTTTTCAACGGTTTTTGACCAGATTCCGAGTTTTGGGTAAAACGGAACCGGTTGACTGGACGGTTTGCAGGCCGAACGGTCGTCCGGGTCAACGGCGATTCGAAAACGTTGATACACAATAAAGGGTCATTAATTAACACAAATGAAGAGATGGATAAATGGTAATTGAGCAACACATAAACAAGTGGTCATGCGTTCAAATCTTGCCATAAGCATTTTGAAATTTCAGTTATTTAGTGACCAAGCGATTTCACGAAACCAGGATCAGCTCTCTGGTTAAACTGGCTGGTCAGCTGGTTTTGACTGGTTTTATATGAATTCCGGTTTTCAGTGTATGAACAAACCAGCCAGAGACCCAGATCACAGTTCAACCGGTCCGGTCCAGTTTTCTGAAGACTAGTTACAAACTTGGAGAATTGTACTGAAACTATGCATCAATCATTGATTTAATATGGAAAGTTGCAAATTAATAAACAAAATAGAGATGGCAAGGAAATGACTAATTGCAACAAAACATTGACATCTATGCAAAAGGTTATGTCAGTTATCCTATATATACCCAAACCATAGGCTTGAATGAAATAATAAGTACAATAAAATAAAGATGTCGGTGCAGATTGAACCGTCATCTATAATGTATATTTGAAAGGCAGAGAGGATCAACCATCATATCTACTGCTTTGCATTTAGGTCTATAGTCAACTCATCATTATCATCATTTAAGCCTTATACCAGCTAATATGGGGTCACAGCTACATGAAACTTGTTCCACCATTCCAGTGTATTCAATGCCATATACATTTTTGAACTATGGGCCCTTTAAATCATTTCTCACTACATCAACCCATGCCTCTTTTGGTCTGACCCTAGCTCTTCTAGCCCCTTTAATTTGTCACAGAGTACTTACTGGCTGTAGATGGTCTTCTCTGCACATGCTCAAAGCATCTTAGTCTACTTTCCTTAATTTTACATCCTAGTGGAGCTACTCCTAGTTCCTTCAAATTAGGTCTATAGTCAATAAGTTGTATTTTTCAGAACCTAACATTTTCAGGTGGACTCTAAAATTTCTTGGTTATCTTGTGAGCTTATCATGAAACTCCATTGAAACTTTGGTGAAAACTAGTTCCTTAACAAACAAACAGCATCTAATTATAGAAAAAATTGTAGCTGAAATCATGTTCAATTCAGTATCATTGAAGCTGAAGTCAAAGATTTTTTATTTTTTTTTGATAAATGACATAAAGTCAAAGATATTGGGTAAACTATACTAATATCCCAAGGGATTTTGCACCAATGTTTTGAAAACCAACCCAGACATCAAAATGGAAAGTTGGATGGGTCATATTTAGAATGGTTTAACCAGTGATTCATCCAGTGTAACAATAAAAACTGTCAAAAACCAATGACCCACCCAGAGGTGCAGTAACCAGTTCTACTACCCATAGCCATAAGGCTGATCATTTCTAGCCTACATAACATCTGTTTTATTTATGTTATATATGTGAGGCTTAGATGATGATGATACTAAATACAATGTATTTAAATTTGTAGGCCCAAAATCTCAGGATTACATTTCAGGACCAGGGTGCTGAACTGGGCCCAGGCCTGGGCTGTGCCCCTTACTATAGGTGCTAAGCCTGGCCCATGATTTTCAAAGGGTGCACGCCTGGACTGAAGTGCAAGGCATACCAGGTGCATGCCTAGGTGCACACCAGGTGCATGTCTTTTGAAGGTGCTGCGTCTGGGGGCTAGGATGGATTCGGATGGAATTATTCTAAGATGAGGATTAAGGAGGGGAGGACCCACAAGGATTTCAACACAATGCATGTGTTAGTCTTTGGACCCGCTATATCCTTTGAGTAGTTGAGTCAAGATTAGGATACAATCAGGATTTAGGAATTTAGTAGAGGCAAACTCTTCAAAGGGTGATAGTTTGAAAAACTTTTGAAAAAAAATACGATCATTCTTTTTCATTTTCTTGTGTATATGTTTTGGGACTTTGGAGAATTCTCCAAACAGGAGAAAGAAAGAGCAAGAAAGGGCCTTCTAATGGAAAAGTCTGGTAACACCTGTGCAATTGGAGCAAATCCTAAAGCAAGTCTAGTAAGGCAAAAGGGCTTCCCTGTGATGGGGATCGGTCCATGCATTATAAGGCCTATTCTTGTAAAAAAGGCCAACAAACAGGTTCTAATGTGGCATAGAGAAGACTCTTGGGACTTGGACTGATCTGGTCAGGGGTATTTTCGTCATTTGACCATCCCAATGTGGACTTGGGCTATAGAATCTTGTTCCTATAGCTTAGTAGTGCTTGTCTTTCAATTTTCAGTTTATTTGCATTAGTAGATAGAAAGTTATTATGTTTCTTGATGCACAAGACAAAGAGTGGCACTTTTTGTAATTACGGTGAACAGTGTTCTAGGCCACACAAGTCACTCTATAAATAGATGTATTCTCTTCTTTTTGAAGCTAATGAATGAATGAAGATTTCTTAAGAGCTCTCTTGCTGTATGGAGTGATTCCTACAAACCCTAGAGTGATTCTAGGACCCCTTGGAGTGATTCCTTGGGATTTCTCTCTCTTTTCTCTTTCTCTACCCTTTGTACTCTCTCTTCCTCTCTTTCTGTCTAGGACCCCTTGGAGTGATTCCTTGGGATTTCTCTCTCTTTTCTCTTTCTCTACCCTTTGTACTCTCTCTTCCTCTCTTTCTGTCTTGTGTTGGTTTGTCCCAGCCCTACTGCATCACCCTATTACAGATATACACTCTTGGAATGAACTGGGGAATGATATCTAAGACCTTGACATGTACAAGCAAAAAGCTAGTAAGCTACTAGATGTGATGAATGAGTCGAGAAGTTGGCACAAGCATCAACATAGAGGTGCCAAGAGAAATGATAATGGGTCCAAGGCTAGAGGTTAAGGTAAGTGCACAAAGAAATGGTCCCGTAGAGGCCTAAGGGATGATGAGTCCATTTGTGTTTCGGAGCTCTTGCTTCTTCCAAAGTCTGTGTGTTTGGACCCTTCTAGACCTGATAAAAGGATTTGGACACTAACCCTAAGTGGCTCCTTTACTTGTGCCTGATACGTGCCTTAGGAGAACTCATCCCTAAAGGCTAGCTGTAAGAGGGAGGGAACCCAAGCACATATATATAACACAACGGTATCCCATACTACCAATGTGGGATATCTCACATTAGCATCCCATGCTACCAACATGGGACAAATGGATTGTAACAGTGCTTCTTTCTTTAAATCCCTCTTCCATTCCCTCCTCTCAGGTTTTCCCTATTAAAGAAATCTGGTCAAGGCCAATTCCTCCTAAAATAGCTGTGTTGTTTTTTATCAATAACAGAATAGCTCATTAAAAAATAAGAATAGGTACAACAGGACGAGGAGAGATAAACTCTCTTAATTCCCCACCAAAAGAAAAACAAAATAGCTGTGTTCTGTTGCGAAGCCTTTTATGGTAAGATCAATACTTTGGAAAACTTGCAAAAGAAGAAACATTATATGTGTTTGTCCCCAAACTAATTCATTTTGTGTGAAGTGAAGAGTGAGCACTTTCACCATTTGTTGGTATCTTGCTCTTTTGCTGCTAGTATTTGGAATTGGGTTTTAACTTCATTTCGGTGTAGGTGGAACTTGCCCTCTGAAGTAAATATGCTTTTTGAACCGTTTTCCTTTGGGCAACTGACAAAGAGAGGGAATTTAATGCGGAAGTGTATCAGAGCAGCGCTTGTGGACAATTTGGGAGAAGATGAAAGCTAGAATTTTTCAACAAAAGGAGAGAAGCCTTGCTGAAGTAAAGGAGTGTATATTGACAAAGGCAACCTTCTAGTTGAAATTTCAGACCTGTTCGTGAATTTTTCTTATGATGATTTAAGGAGAAATTGGACAGTAGTGGCGGCATCCACAGCTTCCACAAAGAATAGACAACAAGCAGAATGGAAACCCCCTCCAGAAAGAGTGCTTAAACTGAACTTTGATGGAAGCAAACAAGGTAATCCAGCGCCCTCGAGTATAGGAGGGATCCTAAGAGATAAAGACAGCAACATCCTATCTTTGTTCTCAGGGCTAATGGGAGTTGGAGACTCTACAAGGGCTGAGATATTAGCAGCAGTACAAGGTATACAGGTTGCTAACCAACTTGGAGTTGAGAACATGATAGTTGAGGGGGACTCCAAGGTGGTAGTGGGCTGT